GTGACTTAACAAGCTATAGTACAAACACATATATGTATTACATACTGAGAGACTCGAACCTGTGACTTAACAAGCTATAGTACAAACACATATATATGTATGTATGTATTTATGTATGTATGTAGGTATATATATGTACTGACTGAAGGGCGGACCCCCAACCAATCCCATGTTCAATTTCAAATCCTATATGGTGGTGGATTCAAATTTGGTGGTGTGTTCAGCAATGGAGAGCTTTGATTATAGAAAGGAAAACACCACTAAATTGAAACCGACAACCTTAAATACAACCAACAAAACAAGAGGTGACATCATGAACAACACCAAAATAGTGCTCATGGAGGGAAAAACCCCATGAACACCACCAGTGAAACACATAACACCATCAAACAACACGGTAACACCATTAATAACATCATCTTACAACCTTCAGTAACTCCGGCAAAAAATACTCACCAAAACATGGAGTACAACCACAAATAATATCGATGAAACTTAAAATAAAACCATCAATAATACCCGCAAATCACGAGATTAGGCAATGGTTGCAAAAGCAGCAATATATTGAAAAGTAATTAACAAGCTAATAACATATTAATATTCGGATTAATATGTCAAATAAGTAAAAGTACAAACTATAAAGTATCATCGAATTACAGCAAGAACCAAACAGATGCGGCTTTAAACAGAACAAGTGATCCAAAAGTTTCAGAGCCTATGAAACAACAAAATGCTTCTCAGCTATTTTCCCGAAAAAAAAAAAAAGAGAGACTTTTCTAACTTCAGACATGAAGAGTGTTTGCTGTAGACAAAGCCTGCAATGATCAGTTGCTGCCTGTCTCATGCATCACAAGTTCCTCCACATATCAAGCTCCTGAAGAGTTAAAAAGAAAAGCATAAATATTACAATTGGGACTTGAGAAAGATGATATATATGTAATTTTGATAAAACATTATGATTTGTATGTTAAACATAATGAATGTATGTAAGCATGAGATAATCATCAATCATCATCATTATAAGGAACCAAATGGTCAAACTCTACAAAGTGTAAAACTCTCCTTTTCCTTTCTAAGTCATCACATTAATTTTAGGGGAAAAGGAAGATTTACATATATATCTAACATTTAAACTTCATTTTTTACATATACATCTCCCCTTAACTACGCATCGAAAGGTGTATTTTATTTTTAAAAAGTAAAAATGACTATTTTTTGATATGATATGAAGAAATGCCCTTAGAAAAAATGATATGATGCGGATAAGGTTTCCTATAGGTGGCAACCTCTCAACCCTAAAGGCAGGAAATATCAGTGTCAGATGATTTTTTAAGATCTCTTTGAACATCTATAGATTTTGTTTTCCTCTTCTTGAGCTCAAATGCAATGCAAGGATAAGTCAATTTTCTTTTCCTTCTATTTTGTCTAACCTCAACCTTTCGGATTATACTGCCATGGGAGGATTGATATGTTTCTTTCTGCATTAAATTTCATCCAAAGTCATTATTCTATTTTCCAATTTATTAACTTCAGTCTTGAGCTCTGTAACTGCATTTTCTAAATCCGACGCTGCTGTTAACTGTTTTCTTAGTACGTGAATAATTTCTTCGAAACCTTTATTGACAACTGTACAACTTGGTGACACAGTGATGTTACTTGAAATGAAAGAGTCCATGCTAAATAAAATTGGTGATTGTGTTGTGTAATGAGTTACATGGGTGATGTATTGGGGCATTTTCACAGGACCAGATTGCTCTTCAATTGAAGGAGAGAGCAGGGCATATTCTTCATCTTTCAAGTCCAAAAAAATATCGTAAACCTACAATGATCAATAATTACAATCACCGATGACCTGAATTTTCCAAAAAAGAAAAAAAATTATCCAATAAGAGAAAGATGTCTACAGGACTGAGCTTCTTAAAATTTTAATGCATCAATGATGAGTTTCAATTCACATTTGTTGACCACCTCAGCATGCGAGGCCTGACCTCAGGTGTGGCAGGAGTAACTACAGATGTGTCTTAGTCATTGCAAATGAAATTTACTTATAAGTGATGGTAATGATTCATGTTTTTGTTTTTTTGTTTATCAAGGGGTATTAAATTAGTGAGTTATTAACACCCAAAATCATACTCCTAAATCTAGAATCAATTTATGTAATTTAAGAAAATTGCAAATCTATCCTTTTTAATTAGGACAAGTGATGTTGGTTTCTACCAGTTAACCCCTTGTTTTTCAAACATCCAAATATGTTAATTAGAATCAAAGATTACCCATTTCCCTTTCTGAAATTAGGCCTAAATGTTAATTAAGGCTAAATTTCTAAAATTACACATTTACCCCTAAGTCTCTATCACTTCATAATTCATCAAATTTACTTCAAATGACTTTAAAATTTTTATCCTACCTCGCTCATGGGTCAATTAAAACATCAGAAGAGAAAGTGTGTTTTGTTAAAATTTAATTTATCTAAATAACTATTTTTAATGCAAATTTATCTATATAATTTTTTTTAATGCAAAAATATGATTTTTCAAAGAAAATTCCTAACTTCACCAAGTTAAATCCTAATCCCTTGAAATTTTTACTGGATGTAGGCTTACACAAAAAAAGCCTTTGGACTAAATTTCATGATTTTTTGAATATTATTTGAATTTTAAGAATTATTTTAAGTTCTGGGGTATTTATTAAATGTAAAATATTTTAAATGGTGAAAATTAAGTTTTATATTTTTGCAAAATCTTCCTGAGGTTAGATTTTTCTAAGTTTTATTTGATTTATTAGAATTATTTTTAGTCAAAACCCATTTTTAGCCTTTAAAAATTATTTTTAAGCTTTAAAATTTAGTATCTTTATTTAGAAAACAAGGAAAAATATTCTAATTGTTCCTAAGTTTTTAGAAAGCAATTTAGAACATTTACGTACTTGAAAAATCAATTTGAGATATTAAATGAACTCCAAATATTTTGAATTTTTTATGGGGAGTTCTCTAAAGTTTATATTTTGGAGGAGACCAAAAATAAAGTCATTTAGATGTCTATGTTACCCAAAATTAATTTTTTTTGTGTTTTAGATTTGGTGAAGTTTAAGTGTATTCTTAATGACTTAACTCATGAAATTATTTCCAAAAGATTCTTTGGTCATGATAAACCTTCAAAAATTTTCTTGAAATTTTCTAATCAACATGCTAATTATCATAATTAATTTATGCAAATGATAAACATAAACTTGAAAAATATGTATGAATCAACATGCTAATTATCATAATTAATTTATGCAATATCTAAGACAGAGGCAACAACATGCTAAAATTTTAATCCATGGTGATATGTTTATGTGATTATTATTTACTTAATTATAATTAAAATAGTTCAGAGGGATATTAATTAATTAGAAATTAAAGACACAATCACATGGACTTAAAATTATTTTCACATTATTCTACTCTGTTCACTGAACAAGAATATACTTTTATTTTATTTTTTTTTTCTACACCAAGATATAAATTTTTACAACTAGGGCTATTTATTTAAATAAGAAAATTCCTATTTTTCTAATTAAACGTGTGACGCTGACAGTATCCTCGACAGCACCGAAGGCACGCGTGGCGCGCTCTGGTTGGACGCCGCCATCCACGTAGCCGCTGACTCGGCCCGCAGTTCATGTAAGGAAGCGCTGTCCAGGTTGTTCCAGCAATTTCTAGATTCAGATTTCTGACTTCCAGCATCTCGTTCTAGAAGCTGGTTATGTAGTCCGTAGACTCTCGCTTTCTTCCTGCTTGATATACTCCTTGTTTTGGATGGCATTGACTATTTCAGTCATCAATACGTTGAGGGGAGTCAAACTTTGCATTTCCCTATAAACATGCAATTGTTCATAATATTGAGCCGACTGTTGATCAGAGCGCATATTTCAATTATGGTTGCCTCAATCATTTCTCTACTCATCTTGGGACCGAAAGTTGTTTTGGTGACAGGAAGACTGATTGTCCTTAGCCCTTTGTTGTTCGCTCAGTTTTTTCCGCTTCTTTGACGAGTCGTTGGATGATTCTAGCTCATCCTTTAAAGAGCTTTGGAGGACTTCTTCGGCAAGTATGTGCTCGTTCGCCATCTCCAATACTTCTGCGAAAGTAGTAGGTTTAATTAGATTTAGGTCGTAACTGAATCGCTTGCCTCAGGCTCCTCTCTTTGAGGTTGTTCTGGCTATTTCCAGCTATAGATTTCAACTTTTAGACTCTTTTTCTGGAAGCGGGTAATATAAGCCCATAGACTCTTATTTTCTTTTTGCTTGAGGTCGAGCAGGGTGTCCGAGTCTTTTCTCGGCTTCTGCATGTTTGAGAAGTGTGAAACGAAGAGTCTCTTAAGCATAATAACTTGGGATGGTATCGGTCGACCGACCGTTTCGAAGAGCCTACTCAGTCAGGGCGGTTAACAATAGATGACATTATTGGACTGTCAATCTAGAGCAAACCGACAGATGATTCGAACGATGCGCCTCTTTGATTTGGCAAGTAAAGGTCCCTCCTGTGAGCTTCCGGACAGGCACTCAAATCTGTTCTTCACATCACCTATTCGCATGAACAAATGCAGCTGTGTCGGTGTGTTGAGACTCGCCTTGTCCCTGTCTACGGGTTGCTAACCTGGTTGTGCCGGGATAAACGTGATCTCTGGTTGGGGCCTTTGGGTACGAACCCCCTGGGGTTCCGCTTCCAGGCTAGGGGCTTGGTCGTTCCTTTGGGTGATTGCTGTTAGGAGAACCTCAAATTGTTCCATCATGAGGGTCATTTGGGCTTATGAGCGCTGGATCCGCGCATGACTCTACTGAGTTTCGTGCGTTGTATCTCTTTTGTGAACGCGTCTCGAGAGTTAAAATCGAGTGAAAGAAGGAATAAAGTGAAGCAGGTGTTCCTGTGGAAAGAACCTGACAAGTCCAAATTGTTCGCCTCCCTTTGGTCATCATTTTGTCACTTCTTTATAAGAATGCATTTTGTACAATTACAGAAATGAGGGAACAGTTGTGGGAACCGTTCTTAATGTAAGTAATACTCTGATTAATGTAAGTAATACTCTGATTAATTGTATGAATTTCATTATATATCTGTATTACAATTTAAATTTTGATATAACTATAATTAGTCCATCGATTCGCTAGAATGCGGTCAATTGAGGCAATCTATTAGGCGGCAATTGCGCCTTGTGTTTATATGAAGAAGGCGTTCAGTCGAAGGACAATCTCGTTCGCCGCGACAGATTAGTCCATCGATTCGCTAGAATGCGGTCAATTGAGGCAATCTATTAGGTGGCAATTGCGCCTTGTGTTTATATGACGAAGGCGTTAAGTCGAAGGACAATCTCGTTCGCCGCGACAGAAGTAGGTCGGTCGTCTAGTCACGATCAGAGGGTTTTTGACTGCGCTTCAGTCGATAATTTGGTCGACTAATGAATCGATTTGTTTTTGTCAAAGGACCATCTTTATGGAATTGGCCTGTCTCGAGTTTAGAAATGTGGTTTTCACGGGCGTAGCTGTGACTTTCGGTCGACTGTTTACTTTTGGGGGGAAATTTCTACTTTGTGGTCGTTTGTTCTCTTTGAGTCTTTATGGAATTGGCCTGTCTCGAGTTTAGAAATGCGGTTTTCACAGGCGTAGCTGTGACTTTCGGTCAACTGTTTACTCTTGGGGGAAAATTTTTACTTGTGGTCGTTTGTTCTCTTTGATATTCGTGCTGGTAGGACTAGCGTATACACTAATAAATAAAGAATTTTATGAGATATGCTTATCACCAGTCAATCCACTCTTATTGAGTTAAAGCATTAATGTGCTTCAATAAGAGTCCAAATAATATTTGTGATAACCACTTCTCAAAAAAATTAGGCATAAATACAAAAATTTTTTATAAAATAAGTAGAAATCCGTTAGACCAAAGATGAGCCTACCAAATAATTTTGAAGACTTACTTTGAGCGCAAGGATAAAAAGGCAATTTACTCATATGTTAATTATTATTGTGGGGCATAAATAAGGCTACCCGATTAGACAAATATGTTATTGTTGTCTTGAATCTTAGGATTAGGATTTGGGAGAGATCATTTACTTTTCAATTTGTAGGTGTTACTATTAGTATTTGAAAAAGATCACCTACCTCTGGAATTATAAGTGTTTATCTTTTACATATTCAGGTTGAGTTGTTTTGTATTCGTAATGTAAAAATATTTTATTTTGTCCTAATTTCTACTAAAGTTTATGTCAAAATCATTACCCAAAAACAAATAAGACCTCCAAAACAAATCATAAAAAAATAAATAATAAAAAAAAATGACAAACAAAAAAAAATTGAAACCCATTCACTTACATCATCAAGCAACCAGAATTTTTCCTCTTCTTCTTCTTTGAAATCTCCCTTTTCCTTGGAGGTTGGAGAACAACTTTGATAGCAGTATCAAAAACAGATTTGACATTCTAACCAGACCAAGATTAAGACAACAAATCAGAAAAGCAATTAAACAACTCGACTAATAAAAAATGGCAAAATTTACATAAATATCACACAATTGTTATGCATTAACATATCTAACACATAAACTTTGATATTTACATTCATAACACTCCAATATTAAAAATCTATGCATGAAAACTTATATTTTACATTTAAAAGGTCAATGATAAGTAACATTTTTTATATGATATCAAAGAATCAGGCGGCATGCATGTCAATATGAAAGTTTCACCGTTAGATAAGTAAATATATATATAAGAATTGTGTGGTATACACATAAATCCCCCAAAAAAGGGAAATTTACTCTGCACACCAATTAACAACTTAGGCACCAATAGTATTGCATAAAAATATGATCTTGGCAGTATAAAACTTCTCATTGAACAATCATAAATTAGCTATTCAGCCCAGATAAAAACTGACTAGTTTGTTTCACCTATATATAAACTCTTTTCTAATAAGAAATGTTTCAAGGTGGTTATTTAAAACTTTCATATTATTTCATAATTGCAGTCTATACCTGCTGTGTCTTTGAACTGCATTCTATGTATGCTGCAGCCCCAACTTGTTTCCTGAGTTCCTCTCCCTAACATATAAATCAAAATGATTGAAGTAATTGCCATCTACAGAAATGAAAATGACAAACTATCAAAAAAGAAATAAATACTTGGGCCGAAGTGATTGCAACAGCACCGGGATGATCGGCAAGATATGCTTTGTCCTCGCGGAGATCTGAATTTTTACATCATTTACAACAACATCAAAAAAGAAGTAATCTTCTGTAAAAAGGAAAAAAATTGTTCGTATATTAATAAAAAGAGGCATTTACATACATAGCGCATAATTCTTATGTAATTACATATCTCACACCTAAACGTCATATTTACGAAAACACATAGAACGGAAATCTTTAATATCACATGAAAAATAATAGCACTGTTACCACTTTTTAAAAATGAAATATGCCTTTCCAAGCATAGGTTTAAAGCTCCAAAGGGTTATATATGTAAACATGAAATTCGAAGTGTGAGATGTACAAATACATAAGAATTCGTGTGCTATGTATGTAAACTTCCCTAAAAAAAGCCTCTAATCTCAGGAAAAGGAACAGAAGTTCAACGTTCATGTACCTAATTTAGTTCCAACAAGCACAATAGGAACATTTGGCGCGAAACGACGAAGTTCGGGCATCCACTGGTCCGCAAATATCAAAAGTAGATTTTTTAAGGATCAGTGGAAGTGGCAAGACGTAATTTTTACATAACAAGACACACTCAAGAGAATAAAAGAGCAAAAATAAATTCAGCACATATAAAGAACCTCTAAATAACTAAATCTAAGAACTACTTCATAGGAACTTATCAAATGACCACATTTTTTCTAAGGCAGTAAAAAGCCGTTTAAGAGCTTTCAGATTACTAAGGTAAAAGTATAAACCAGAGGATCATTTACATATATACCACCCAATTCCAATATCTTTACATATCTAAAACCAAAACTTTGTGCCATTTACATTTATATCACCCAAATCTTTCATAGCACAACAAGAACATCATTATTTTAACTTTAAATAGGTGAAATATACCTTTCATGCATGTGTAAGATGGCGTATACTTAAAGATTGATGTTTAGGTGTTATATATGTAAATACATAAGAATTGAGTGGTATGTATGAAGTAAATATTACCTTCTTGAGGACATTCTCATAACTTGCCCTACTGATCAGAGAAAAAGCCAGAATAAAAATATCAGCTCCCCTGTAACTAAGTGGCCTCAGCCTGCTATAATCTTCCTGGCCTTAGAACCAAACAGGAAAAAGGAGAGAAAAAAATCAAAAGAAGAACTGCAGAAACATTTAATAGAAAATTTAGGAATCAATCAAAATACCTGCGGTGTCCCAAAGCCCTAAGTTGACAATGCTTCCATCAACACAAACATTTGCGCTGAAGTTGTCAAAAACAGTAGGAATATAATCCTAAACAGAGAAAACATTAACAAACTTCATAAAATCAAAGTTTGCAGCTTTTCAGAATCATTGCAGGTAAAAAACAGGGATCTGAGAAATGCATGCCAGAAAAGGAGAAAAAGATCTAAAAAAATCATATTTGGTTAATGAAAATATTGGGCAAAAATGGGAAGGAATCTGAAGCAGTAGCAGAGAAGAAATAAATGAGATGGCGAGGGGTACACAGACACTGCACCCAAAACAAAAGAATGCTAAAAAAGTAAACCAAACAGATCGATTTAACTTATTTAAATTTTAAAAAAGGGATTTTGATGGATGTGGATGAAAGAAAAGAAGAAACTTTCTTCACATTACATACAGTGGGAAACTTGTTGCTGGTGTAACAGATCAACATACAGGTCTTCCCCACTGCTCCGTCTCCCACAGTAACACATTTTATGAACTTTGTAACACTCATCTCTCTCCTCTGTCTGGCAAAGCTCTCCAGGTATCCAAGAATGCTAAGCTATAAGAAGAGAAAGAGACAGAGAGAGGAGTGGGTTCCCTTGGAATCCAAGCAATGGAACTCGCAACAGCAGAGAACAGCAGGTGAAGGAAGAGGACGAGACTGAAGGGATAATGGAAGATAGACAAGTCTAAATAATAAATATACTAATTTCTAGAGAGATAAAATGACAACTCTTAAGCGCCTAATAATCTCCCCCTTCGGCAGAAACATTCAAAACCGAAACAAAGCTCGCGCCTAGAGAGAGAGAGTGGATCCAAGCTGAAAAGCATCAGTACCCATACTAGCTAGAGATGGAGAGAGGGACAGAGAGAGACAGAGAGGGGGGGGGGGGTGGGGGGAGGCGAGGCATGTTCTATTGAAAGCGAAGAGAGAGCTTTTGACTTGTCCGTTAGCTTCTGGACAGCTAATCCCCTGGATGTTTGCTGTTTTGGTCAGATAGCGGATCATAAAACTGGCCTTCCGGTGAGATGATGCGGTTGCTTTTTTTTGAATCAAATAATTAATTATTATTTTTTAAAAAAATCAAATTCATGAAGCGCTATAAACCATGTCGGGCCTCGGGCGGGTCGCCTTCAGGCCTCAGGGTCTATATATATATATATATATGTATATATATATATATATATGTATGTATGTATATATATATGTATGTATGTATATACATCATTCATTTTAAGAACAGCATATAAATTATGTGAAAATTTTTTTTGTATTAAAAATCCTTATTTAAAATATTATTTTTTGTCTTTTTTATGTTATTATGACCTTAAAATGTTACACCAATAAATATTAAAATTAAAATATTAATGTACATAAAAATGTGTTAGCATGATCCATAGAATATCGACAATCTAGAGGAAAAATATATGACGAGGGCAGGCAAACCGACATAAGACCGCGAGAACTGTTTGTTCGACTGAGTGAAGTTGTCAGAGCGAAATTCAGTAATTACGAGACAGACCAAAGACGGCTTGAGGATACAAAAATGAGTCATCGAGACAGAAACACATCAAAAAAACATGTAAGTCAATCATCACATGAGAGTCAATCTAAGAAAGATATAGTTTTCTAACATCTTCAACTATTCTGGAGACATCCTGAAGCCTCTCATTAGAGGACAAGAACGGACAATCAGGTCGTATCAACTAATAAACTCATATCGATCAAGCTCAGCCGAGCGGATCTCAGCAAACAAATTGATCTTGTCAACCCGAAGTTATTCAAGCTTAGTTGGCCTGCCCAGAGAGCAACTAAACGATAAACTCTTACATGTAAATACCAAGAATATTCTCTATAACCCGCTTTAAAGCAGAAGCAAAAATCATATCATCACTTTATACTATATCATCTATAAATAAGAAGATCATTTAATAAATAAGACATAATTTACACGACACGGTACTGTTCACTTCTCTATTTGTTTCTATTTCGTCTTCCTTACTTATGCTCTATTCATTAGGTGTGATTCGAGAACAAATCAGAATTCAAACAAATATATATGATAAATCATGGGTTTTATCTCAAATTTGCTCCATTAAATTTCGCTATTTATCTTAACAATTTAAAATTAGATAAAATTTAAGATGATGAGTTTAAAAGTAAAGCGTGTGATGATGGAGATATGGATGCTTTTAAAAAATAATATATGATTATTAACATCAACATTTGTCTTTATATCTTAATTTATAGTCTTTTAACAAGTGCTAGAAAGGTGAATTTACATATATACCATAAAATCATTCTGTGCATCTGGCATCTAAATTTTTATATTTACTTTTGTAAAAATTGCGGGTGTAAACGAGTAAAACTCCATCTTGCTAGGGGTGTAAACGAGCCGAACACGTATATTTCAAGCTCAAAAAGTGTGTTCGTGTTCGGCTCGTTTGCTTAGCGAGCCCGAGCCGAACACGAGTCGTACACGAACAGAGAGTTGTTTTGACAACACTAATCACGTAGCAATAAAATGTTATGAATTGGGGCAAGATTTAAAATTTTTTATTTATATTAAAACATCATTTGAATCTAACTTGATACTTTTTATTCTACTTTCTGAATTATTACTTTTAATTGATTATAATTTTTTTTAGCCTTGCAGATAATTAATTTTTTAAAAAATACTACTCATCAAAGATAGATAGATAGATGTATATAATTGATTAGTAGTATTTCGAGCCAAAACGAGCCGAACACAAGTGAACAAATTTTTTTTCGTGTTGTTTGTGTTCGACTCTTTAACTTAGCGAACGAGTCAAACACAAGTTTCTTAACGAGTCAAACACGAGCTGTTCGCGAACAACGAGTAGGGGTGTAAACGAGCCGAACACGAGCTCTGTTCACGAACAAAGAGTCCTTTTAACAACCCTAATCATGTACTCATAAGACATAAGACAATAAGAGTTTGAGCAAGATTTAAAAATTATTATTTATATTAAAAGATCATTTGAATCTAATTTAATAATTTTTATTTTATTTTCTTAATCAATATTTTAAGTGATTATAAATCTTTGTAGCGTTGTAGCCTTGTAGTCAATAAGTTTTTTTTAAAATACTACTTAATATATATATATATAGTATTTCGAGCCAAAACGAGCCGAACACGAACGAAAACATCTTAGTTCGTGTTCAGCTCGTTAACTTATCAAACAAAATTAACGAATCGAACACGAGCTTCTTAACGAGCCGTTTTGACAGCCCTACTCGTGTCGGACATTATTGGCATAACAGTGATTATTAATTTAGTATTTAATTTAAGCATGTATTTTAAAAAATGGTTTATATTAGAGTTAAGGATGATGATTTAAATTAGTTTTGTGGGTTTCATTATAAAATTTTCCAGAACAGCTCGGAATTTATGATGCATTTTAAACTTCTCGTATTGTGGCCATTAAATTTAAAACCATTAGATCATAATCGTAACACTGAAAATATTGAAATACACATGTTGGTAAGAATTGAGGGGTAATGATGCAAATTTTCTGAAAACTTTTCATAGTATGAAAATGCATTTGTACACTAAAAATGGTGTGAATGTATCTCGAGACAATCTAACGGTCTATATTAAAAGAGACAAATCATGAAATGTCCCTATAGTGAAAGGCTCCAAGAGCTCTTAAGGTCGATTGGCTGAAGAACCACCGGCCAACCGCCAATTAGTTGACTAAAGGGTTGGCAAATGATCGAAGGCTTGCTGATCGACTGAAGGTCAGTTCAACTACCAAAGGACCACTCAGGTCGACCAAGAACAAACATTTACCCCAAACGACCAAACAAAGGTCTAGAACATCCACCAGTCTCATGAATACCAACATGAGGCTCGTTCAACAACCTTTCAAAGATCACCAAGGAACAAAAAAATTAACCAGCCAAACTAGGGTTGATCGGTGACGACTCTTGTCGACTGGAGTCTAAGCAAAATAGCTAACCAACACCACCTCGGTCGATCGATTCAGGATATGTCAATCGTAAGGTCCAGATACATTAAACGACACAAGAATCAGTTAAAAATATAAAAAGACACAATAAAAGAGAATAATATCACGCAACCTCCTTATTAAAGCAGGTGCAGACATAGAATATTCCACCTTTTGTCCATTATCCACTATAAATATGGGGCGTTCATAGTTTGTATTTTGGGTTTTTTTTGGCATTTCTGGTTTTTGATTTCCTTAGACTCTTTTTTCTAAACCCTCTCTATAGAAAGATATCTCTCATTCTCTTATGTAACCCCCGATTACAATATATAAATCGGTCACAGAGTCATGTAATACCCCATTTCACCCCTACGGGGCAAGTTTGCGTGTGTGTGTTTTTTTATTTCCTTATCCCTCCCTACCTCTCCACTTTTATCTCAAGGTTCTATTGCTCTGATTCTTGGTCATGCCTCACAGGACAATTTGGATTCAACATCATAAAAGTTGCAGTGAGCGTGAAGCATGTTGCCAAGAGGAAGGGAAGCGACACCCACAACGAGAGGTGTATCACGAAGATTCCTAAACAGGGAGCACGCTAAGGAGTTCATACAACAACAAATTTGGACCATAATGTGTCATTTCTGTCAAATTTCTAGAGGTTTTACAAGTAACTGAGTATCGCAAAATGGATTTCTAGTTCCCAACGGTCGGAATGATATTATGCGTCTCACTCTACTTCTCCCTTTAGGTTTGTACCACTCCGATCTTTGGGCATGCCTCATAGGACAAATTTGAATTCAACGACATTTGTTTGTAAATTGTCTATGCTTATCGATATAAATCTTTGCTAAAAGTTAAAAGATTTGTTTGCATTCAAAAGTTTTGGCAATTAAGAGGAAAATATGAATGCAAGATTTACACATACACTACATAATTTATACAAATCTACATATATAACAATTAAACTTCAATTTTTGCATACTCGTCGCCTTACATGTGCATTAAAAGATGTATTTAACCTCTTAAAAGCTAAAATGATAATTTTTTTTATGTGATATGAAATATTTGGGCGGCACAAATGAAAAATGCATGAAGTTTATGTGTAGGATACATAAATATATAAATGATAATTTTTTTTTATGTGATATGAAATATTTGGGCGGCGCAAATGAAAAATACATGAAGTTTAGGTGTAGGATACTTAAATATATCATGGTTTTATTTGATTGCTTGATTTCAATGTAATTTGTTGTGTCATGTTTTGTCCAAGAAGTCACATTTAATGCCACAATTCAATTGAAAAAACAAAAATTTCCTCATCTTTACATTAACTTTTCCCTTTTATATAGGAGTATTTTCTCATAAACATATACATAGGGCAATGTTTATGCTTGCATCCCTTAGAATCCCTGACTACTTGAACTTCTTGTCTGCTGCCTCATATGTTTATATTATATTATCTATGACATCTTATTATTTGTTGTCTTTGGCATTCTCTTCCTTATTTCTCTTATTAGGTGTGTGTTTGGGGTGGCTTCACTATTTGTGAAAGGTGATTGTAAAGCTGTGGTTGAAAAATCAAATTCTTAGAAATTTGTGGTGAAAATTATAAATATATATTTTCTTCTAAAAAAACATATAACAACTTTGATACGAACATCACATTTTAATGGATTAGGATTAGATTGAAAAAAATAATAATTTTCAATCTCAAAAATTTTGAGAAAGCAATAAATAAACTACTCCTCAAAAAAGATTGTAGTGGCAATCTAAGACACAAAGAAAATAAAAAGCTATATCAAATATACCTTAATTCACATCAGATGTTGAATCGACCGACTATCCTAAAAAATTGCTCTACAACACTCGCCTTGTGATAATTAGGCTATGATCTCATGGAATAT